AGCCCTGGCAGGTGTTTGGCTCAGCACCACCACCCCTTACCCAGGGGCAAATACATGAATAATGAGATAAGGTCACTTCACCGACATCACAGTGTTAGAACTGAGATGGGAAGCAGTTTTTTTCTCATTTTAAATCCATTTCTCTGTAGGTGACTCATTTTCTTTTCATTATGCCCAACACTGGAGGGATGAGAATAACACATTTTTGTTACACCTTCACCTTGGCTTGTTATCTCAAGAAATCTCTCTTCCTGTGATTTACTGTTTTTAAAACTTTCCTTGTCGTCAGAGAAGTCTCTAAAGATCTTTCCAGGGTGGCTCTGTCCTCTCATGCCTTCACATGTTATTCTTCTTTACTTGATTTCATTCTCTCTTGACAAAGTTCATACGCTTTACTGATTAAAATAGTTGTTTTCTTGCTCCATCACCATCATCAAATCTGACATCAATTTTCTAGCCATTAAATTATAATAGCATCTGTCTGCCCACATAAACCTTAAGAGAGAACAGATATGAAATAAGCATAAAAACAGGCCTGAGGGTGTATCAATCACACCTTCAATCAAAATCCATAAATTGAGCACCAAGTCTCTTACCCCCTCTTCTTAGCTGGTGGGAAGTAAAAACTGAATCAGCCTGGCTCTGGGCTAGAACAGTGGAAATGAGAATTCAAGAGTGATCATGTTGAACTCACAGGAACTCACCTAACTGAACCTCTTTTGGGGGGAAAAATGTACCCAATCTCAGCAAAGACAACTCTCTACAGAGCCTTCCAAAGGGTCTGCAGGCCACCTCTGTGCTGGCATCCTTACGCTGGCGCGTGGGCCTGTAAGGTAAGCTCTGGAGACTGCAGCGAGTTCCCCAGAGAAGCTATGGAAGCTTTGCAAAAGAATTTCAACGAAAGGCCTGGGCCGGTTCTGAAATCAGTGGATCTTCCGGGGACAGATCTGTACTTTAAACTGTCCCTCATCAGTATACATATTGTTTAGAGCACATGGAAATATAAATCTTTTTAACTTTGGAGCGTTAAAAGTGAAAAGGAAACAATGCTAAGTTCTTTTAGAATTTCTTTTTTTTTGGTTAACTCTTCAATTCTTTAAGCTCATTACAGAGTTGCTGACTAGTACAGTTTATACAGATTTCATAGAATCAGCAAAATGTGGGAAAAAGAGTGCAGGCCTGCAAGCTCAAAGGGTTAATATTTAGGATGGAAACCTAGCTCCATGCTTTTTCCCCATATAAATTTTTTAAAAATCAGTTAATCTGCTGACCCTGGTTCCTTCATCTGCAGTCCCTCTACCCAGAAATAGCTCCTGTTAGCACTTTGCACAAATGTATGTCAATATTGAAGGAAGGAGGTTGTACTGTAATTATGCTTTGGAAATATGCTTTATTTACTTAAGTTACATTGTAACTATCTTCCATACCATGTCATATTCTTCTACGTCACTTTAACATTGACTCCATAAAATTCCTCTGAATGGATACACCTGGAATACATTTCTTCAATCCTCTGTTGGTGGATATTTACTTATTTATTTATTGCCATGATAGTTCTAAATATTGACCTTTTCTTATATTTATAAACCCTTGAATTGCTTGTTTACATGGAATGCAAAGTTATAAAAGGCATCTACCTGTTTTTCTCTCTTTACTTTTTTCTCTAACCCAACAGAGGGGAAAAATAACTTCTTGTAGAAGGAATCAGAAATCAGAAGAAATCAGACTTTGTGTTTCTGATTTCCAAAATCACTTTATTAATGTTACAGATTAATAACAGGCTTCCTTTACCCATTGGTCTTCATTCTGTGGAGAATGGCAGTCGCTGTCACTGTGTCCTTATGCAGTCTTACCCAGCCTGCCTTTGCTCTCTTGTCCCTTGATATCATTTTCTTCCACAATGAAATAGAGACAAACCTTAGAGTAATCCAAAAGGTCATTTTCTAGATTGTATTTATACCAGCTGCAGTATAGTCAGACCTCCATGGAATTAGTGAGATCCTTGATTTACATACACATCACTCCTAATGAAGCAAATCATTGCTTCACATAAGCATCCATCATCATCTGCAAGCAGGTCAGGAACGGGGAAAAGGAAGGTTTTGATTTTGTGTCTGCACAATTTAGGGAGGACTCTGTGCATATTCTTTTCTGGTTGAGAGCTGCAGATTTTATTACTTGAGATTACAGGTATATTCATATAGGTAAACTATATAATTTGTAGACTTGTCATTGGGTTTCCTTACCACAGATATTGCCAGAAAACACAGAAAGTGAGTCTGGACAAGGATGAACTGCTTTCTCCTCTTCCTTCTCTCATGGACCTGTAACTCATCTCATTTATCATTTTGTTGTTGACGTATATGGGTACCCATCTTGTTTTACTGAAACTGAAGCCGCTTGTGGTGATAACTTGCCTGAGAAAGCAATTTTATGGTCCCTGCAGTGTGCTGTGAATTGGTTGTTATGAAGTGTATCAGACGATGTGGCCTATTTAGTTTAGACAATATATCTTCATTTTCCCCTAGCACCATCCTTAGGTCTTAAATTGCCATTCAAGTTCTACAAGCTACAGATTGAGTAGTGGTTTTTGGTCAGAGAGCATCCAGTACAACCCAGGGGGTTTTAAGGAATGTTTGGAGATTGCTGATGAGACATCTCCCAGTGGGAAACTTCCCCTTCACTGCTACTATGCCAGAGGCGGAAGTTTCAATAGCATTTCCCAAACTACTGGTTCTGCCAACCCAAGGCCTTGGGTTTCTGCCATTGGCTATGAGACCCTAGCTTCCTGTGTGTAGCTGGAATCCATCCTGGGGGCTCTGTGTAACAAGTTTATAACTGAAGAGTTCCCCTGTGTCCAAGAACTACTGGATTCTTTGGTCCAGCAAAACAAAAACAGTTGTTGAGCATCTACTCTGGGTCAGGCACTTTGCTCCTTACTGAGAATACGTAGATCATGAGATACAGCCACTACTCTTAGGAAGCTTACAGTTTATGAGAGGATAGATATGAACAGAAATAACTAATTTGGGGATGTCACTGGCATGCACACCGACGTTAGTTCATTCTTCTCATGAACATTACTATCTCGTGTAAATCATAAAGGTGTTTCTTAAAGCATCAGAGTAAGCAAGAAAAGAGTTAAGACCTAAGTAAGAGACCTGCCCTGAAGGAGAGAAAGAATAAAGGTAGAGTCAGAGCCCTGGCCACTGTAGCCCAGTTGCTTGGAGCATAATCCCATGAACCAAAAGGTCACAGGTTCGAGTCCCAGTCAGGGCATATCCCTGGGTTGCAAGTTCAGTCCCCAGTAGAGGCCCAGGCATTAGGCAACCAATTGATGTTTCTCTTTCACATTGATATCTCTCTCCCTCCCCCTCTCTCTCCCTCTCTCCCCCCACCTCTTTCTCTCCCAAACCTTCCCTGAAATCAATAAGCATCTTCTTTTTTTATTTTTAAATATATTTTCTTAAGTATGCCATTACAGTTGTCCCATTCCCCCTTCATTCCCCTCCACCCTGCACACCCCTCCCCCAACATTCCCCCCCCTTAGTTTATGACCAAGTGTCTCAAGTTCTTTAGATTCTATATTTCCCATACTATTCTTGCCCTCCCCCCTATCTATTTTCTACCTACCATCTATGCTACTTATTTTCTGTACCTTCTCCCCCCTTCTCCTTCTCCCTCTCCCTCTCCCACTCCCCTGTTGCTAACCCTCCATGTGATCTTCATTTCTATGGTTCTGCTCCTGACCTAGCTGTCCTCTTAGTTTGCTTTTGTTTTAGGTGTGGTTGTTAATAACTGTGAGTTTGCATCTTCTGCTCTCACTTGCTGAAAACTAAGCACACTCACTAGTGAAATTAGCAAAAGGGCCCTTGTGAGTTTCCGCCGTACAGAGAAAGTTTGATTCTTTTCATTTTTAATCATTTCTTAAACATATTGTTCTTTTTCCAAAATGTGGTCATGTGTGATAATTTGATGATTTTTCTCCCAACACCACCTCACCCCTTCATTAAACTCAGAGCCCCATCAGGTCATGAATCAGCACTATTGCTTTGACTAATTTATTACTAAAATATTATATTTCTTTTAAAAATCTCCTGATTTTCTCTTAGCATTTTAACCTCTGAGAGGTACAAATTCCATTCAGTCCGTGGACTATCGATTTTGTATTAGCACATACACAATAAGAGATGAAACAAACACAAATGGACAGCCTGCTTTCTGATCAGAATTTGTATACGTCTTACCTCGCTAGAGTACTTAACAGAGACAGCTTTAGCTGCCGAGATCCCCCTCCCAAATGAACATGCATTCTAGGTATTAACACAATATGTGGAATCACAATTCATGGGATATTTCTGGGCTTGGGGTTGGAGGAAATCAAGTAGGAAAAGCCCAGGGAGATGCCTCAAGTGTTAAGGAAGGAGCTAAGCGATTTTTATCTTTAGATGTATAATTGGTGCCTTTATCTCCATGACTCTACAGGATAAGGGACAGAATCAATATCAGTCTTGAGTTTCCACCAATCACACCGTCAAAAATGCATTTCATTTAACTAAATCACACCCTAGGCATATCTAAATATTTATAAAAGCATCACTAATTCCAGCAATTGAACAAGAACGCATTCCCATGGCTATCCTTCAGAGCAGCCTACTAGTTTTGTTGTAACATGTTTATTAGCAGCAGCTAGCCCAAGTGTTGTATTATTGCTCAGCCTCAATGGAATGTTTATGGACTTGTTTTATGAGTTGCTACTCTGTGCTGTGAACCCATCAGTCTGTTTACAGGGGGAGGCAGTTGGGGGGGGGAAGAGGGAGGATCATTTTGTTTGACATGTTGGTGGGAGGGAAGTTGGTCATGACGTTTGAACTAAGATGTACCGAAAGGGTTTCATGTTCACCCTTGCACAAAAATAAGCTGTACTAAGTAGATATTACTTACAAGTAGGTTTTTCAGTCATCATCCTGGTTTTTACTCTTGTTTATATTTTTCCTCAGGGGAAATCCCTCACGTCAAAGAGATTAACAAGTCTTGTTCAGTCTTACTAAAAGGATCGTCCCGTAGCATGGAAGCAGACTGAGTCGTTGCATAACTTTGTAGCTCTGTGTTGTCACCTGGAACAGAGGACCTTAGAACAAGATGTCGCATGAGCAAAGGACCTGAATTGTTCTTCCTCTGTGTGCCGTAAGGCATCACCATCTGCAAGGGACTCTGCCATCTCAATGCCTCCATTTCCAAATGTGGTCTGCTTACTTCCTCCTGGTACTAAGCTGGATCTGTGTTTTTTCCTTTTTATCAAGTTCAAGTGAAGTAAACCTTTTACTTTCCCGCCCCCTCACTTTCTCTCTCTTTCTCTTAAAGCTTCTGCTAAATACACAGCTCACTGAAAATTCAGTCAGTGACAAACTGGAAGAATTGTGAAAGGAAAAAAAAAAAGCATATATATACATATGGCTTCACATTTGCCAATCAGTCAATTAGCACAGGAAGTTTGACTTCACCGGTGTATTCACAGTCATAAACAAGCTCATATCTTTGTCCGCTGTCTGTACTTTCTCAGTTAATATTTCTTGCATTTATTTTTATACCGTATTTAAATAAGAAACACCTTTTACTCCAAATGGATTAAAGTTGATTCCCTCTCTGTAAATTTGTGTATGTTTATATTGTTGTTTTACCTTTCATTAAAAGATGCCAAATCTCGTTGCTCTTGGAACTTTTGACTTTTGTCATGACTGAAAAAGAAAAGGGTCAGAGAGCATCAACAAATGTAGAGTTGCAGTTTGAACTACTGTCCTGGGCTGGGGAGGATGGAGGGTGGGAGGTGGGTGTGGGTGGGGTGCGGGGAAATGGAGACAACGGTATTCGAACAATAAAAATTAAATTAAATTAAAGAAAAACAACAACTCTCACCCTGGAGGTTTAGTTCAGGGTTTCAAGACAAACTTGGCTGGTACAACAACCAGGAACAGATCGAAAGTGTCCCATTTTCGGGCTCACCCAGGCCCCGGTGCATCCTTTTTCTCTTAGGGGGATAAAAAAAACCACCATGAATCGGCCTTCCACATTTTCAGAACAATCTACAGATTCTTCAGTCTTATTATGAATATGCATCTCTATGTTTTGCTAGTGAATATTCTATTAGAATTAGGTTTTAGTGTGATTTCCCAACTCAAGAGCAGATTTTTTAAAGTATAATTAAAAGTCCCTTAGGCCGGCGGCTATTAACTCTTTGATGGTAACAAATCCCTTTGAGAACTCGATGGTACTGACTGCCGTTTAGTGATTACTTCCCAAGGGCCTGCCACTGTATTAGGGTCTTCAAGTGCCCATCGAATCCTTACATCTAATCCTCACAGCCACCCCTGTAGGAGCATTTCTGTCATTTTGAAAATATTGAGGCGGAGAGAAGGTACGGGGTTCTTACCTTCACCCAGCCAAGGGGGGAGGGGGGTTGGGGTACAATTCCAAGCACTCTGATCCCAGAGCCCACCGTACGACACCCATCCGCTTCTACCACACAACTTCTTTTGGTTAGTTAGGTGAAAATCCGTGTACACCGTTACACTGGAAATATTTGCACTGAATTTGAGGGCATTTCGAGGAGCACCCTCTGAAACTCATCCATGGGCCCCAGAGAGACGACCTGATTACCTTCAAGGTTGAATCAGTGACACCAGAGGTTCCCCCCGCTCCGGGGTATGGATCTTATCGGTTAGCTTTTGTAGCCACAAGGCATTGCAGACTCTGATTATTAGTTTTTTTCAAGAGGTCTGTGATTAATGTCTCTCAATGACCAGGTAAATTTAAATTCATAAAAAGTGTACCAATATTGGTGGGATATCAGTAGTGGAGTCTGTTAGCTAGTTTATAAAACTGCCAGAAAAATAGGGAAAACTTGGTAGGAAAAGTTTGTCCATAGGCTATCATTTGAACACTGTGAATAGTTTCAGAAAGACTTCATTGTATGCCCATAGGTCTTTTTAAAAGGAATACATAAAATGCAAATAAAGTTTATACATGCCCTTTCTTAAGAACACCTAATTCAGGACGGCTTTGGGCTGGCACTGAAGTGAGATTGAAATCCTAGCTGATAGAAACTTTACTTAGAAGAAAACCTACTCAAAGAATATGATTCATAAACAATGACCCTTGCACAAATATGATTGGTTTGGAGGCAACTTTCACAAATCGTCAGTCTTTAAAAGCCCATTCTTACAGACTATTTCAAATCATGGATTTATACAGAAATGAAGGCAACAGAGGACAAAGAAACTATGAGGCAAGTATCCCCGACTCAGGAGCTTCTAGGACGGATGTGAGTTCGTTTCATGGTTCAAAAACTCAGCTGTGAAATGGTAGTAGTTCAGGAGAAGCACATTGAAAAGTTAAGGAGTTAAACTTTTTTGGCAATTAATCCCAGCATGGCCACTCTCTCTCACCCCATCTCAGGACAGTTTGATCTCTAAAGCACAGGTAAAAATCTCCCACGTTTCTGATGATTCAACTGGTTAAGAAGACTTAAAGCAATTTAAACAGTCATTCACCAAAGTAGCAGCCTGGACTTCCCACACTTACACTGTGAAACCATTTAGTTCATCCTCTAAGTGGCATTAGCCCACCCACTGCTTCCCTTCATGATGCCACAGTTACGTTTCCTACAGAGGATATTACGCTTGAGTCAGTGCTAGAAACATGGCGGCCTTGCCCAGGCTGTCTCCTGTCGTACACCAGGGAAACACATGAGGGCAGAGTCCTCCCCGCTTCATGGCAAATGTGTGCGTCTGTCTTGCTACTCAACACTGGCAGATTCATATCCCATTCTCCTGGTTGAGTGCTCACTTCTTCAATACCTATGATGGGTCTTGAATAGTGTTGGGGTATGAAGGAAGGTAAGTCTTGACTACTTTCATAAGTTTAGTCCAGTGTCCATGCACTAATTATCTGTCCACGTGGGATTGTGTCCTTAAATACCCACCTGAGAGAGCACATCGAAACATCCACGCATTTTACTAGGACCATCCCTTTGCATACCGTAAAACCCTCTACAATATTAGCACGAGAGAAACGAAGGTACCAACCCATCTTCTAAGTCATTGCAAGATGTAGTTAAGAATTTGATGAATAGACAAGAGGGAGAGAGAACTAAACTCATGTATCACACTCGGGTATCTCATATATTTTGTTGTACAACCGTGTACTTGGTAAGAACTTTGTTACCCAAATTAACCTTTAACAGGGCATCAAATGATGTAGCAAACATAAGATAACCGTATTTTTAAATAATATTAAAACAAACTGTTGTATCCTGGGGAGGTTTTCCTGGAGCTGAAACACATAGCATTTGTAACTTTCTTTTCAAATAGCTTATTGGTTCCTGGGTAGACATAAGTACCTCTGGATTAATAAATTGATTAATCTTGATTTATTAGGTTATAGGGCCTTCATTATTTAACGCTTGTTCAGAAATCAAATTAATCGGAGTGTGTTTCATGTCTTTTTAAAGGTTAATAACGTCTAACTCCAGGATCGGTTGAAATGATTAAGATAATGTACTGAATCAGGGAGCATGGATTTGGTACACAATTAGCAGTTAGGAAAGAATGTTTACCTTCTCCCTTTCCCCTGTCTCTTCCTCCAAAAGGTCACCTTTGTAAATAGATTAAAGACAGGCCGGAATACCCGTCCCAGCCAAGCAGGAATCAGAGGTGAAGTTCAGTCCGCCACAGCCTAGTGATCAGCCAGGATCCCAAAGCCCAGGGGAAGGATCTACGTGCAGAGCAGTCAGGTTTGACGGTGGGTTGGGGACCAACCAGATACAGTCCATAGAGAATCCAGACCAAAGGCTGAAAGAAAAGTGAAACTGGTAAGTCGGGCAGATGGTGTCCTGAACAAGTGGATTCTGAAAACTGAAGCTCTAGAGTATATAAATGGGGCTCCTCATTTTTTAAAAGATTTTATTTATTCTTAGACAGAGGGGGTGGGAGGAGAGAAAGAGGGAGAGAAACATCAATGTGTGGTTGCCTCTTGAGTGCCCCCAACTGGGAACCTGGCCCACAATCCAGGCATGTGCCCTGATTGGGAATCAAACCGGCGACCCTTTGGTTCGCAGGCTGGTGCTCAATACACTGAGCCACACCAGCCAGAGCTAAATGGGGCTTTTTAAATAGCACTTGTGGCTTCACCTGTGCATAGAACAGAACTACCTGCAGGAATCCACCCAATATGAACTATAGGTAAAGAGAGAGTATAGATAAAGGGAGAAAATACAGTAGGGGTGAAATCACACGTTTTTTCCAGTTCAGGGCATCCGGAGGTGTCTTCAGCCCCAAAGCACGAGTATAGGAACTTCTCCTTCCCCCAACACACTAATTTCCAGAGGGCTCCAGGAAAGACACAGGGAGGGAGGATGGAGTAGGAAGATGAATGGTTTGTCTTGGGAGCTCTGTAACCTGATTCCATGATACAACAGCTGGGGTATTTTCCAGGTGAGCCATCCCATACAGTGGTGTCACTCAAGTAGTAGCTGGGCATTGGGAGGTGACGTTGTACTAGACAGACTGAAGGAATGTAAGGCTGTGTAGTACACAGATGGAAAGTGTACCTGGGATAGTTGCCTACAGACCACGGAGTTTAAATCGGTTCTGCGGGGTGACACCGAAACAAGGTACACAGGTCCCCACTCTCTAGCACGCGATGAGATTACAGTATCACTTCAGTGATCGTTCCTCACAACCTGAATTGAATCATGTGGGAACATCAAACTCAGACTGAAGAACTGACATGAATTACTGACTTACAATGAAGTTGTCCAAAAACTCAAGGGAAGACCAGGGAACTTCCAGATTGAAGGTAACTAAAGCAACTCAACTAAATGCAATGCATGGTTCTGGTCCGGGTCCTTCTGCTCTCAAGCCCCTTTGTGGGCCATTGGTAATGCTTGGACTGGCTTCGTGAAATAGACCTTCCTAATAAATCAGTGACAGTTTCCTAATGCTGGTGGTAGGGTTGTCCACATGTAGAATGTTCCTGTTTATAGGAAATATGCACTGAAATATTTGGGGGTGATGAGCATCCTGTCAGCATCTTCGTCTCAAATGACTCCCAAGGGGTAAAGCTTTTGTACCTAGGAAAACAGACCAAGAGCTAATACGCCTGAAAGTGAACACTGGCTAATTCCAACAGGTAGAAATGCAGAGTTTTCTTGTCCACCCTCAGCATGTACATATTCTCTCTTCCCTATTTCCTGTAAAAGTGAAGTTGCTCAGATTGACAGTACATAATTACTAATATTTATTGGTTTCAAATAGTTTTATAAATTTTTTCAGATTTAAACCTTGTTTACGTCCTACCCGAAATAAAAAGCCTGAATTACCAAAAGTTTCCGTTTACCTTGGCCCTTTCTTTCCTACTTCCAACTAAAGGTCAATTTCAGCATGCATATTAAAGACTTTGATATATGCACTTTTAGACCCTAGGAATTTACATGATTTATAAAACATCAAAATGCTGTTAAAAATGATGCTTTTGAGCCCTGGCTGGCATAGCTCAGTGGATTGAGTGCGGGTCTGCGAACCACACGATTGCGGTTTGATTCCCAGTCAGGGCACATGCCTGGGTTGCAGGCCAGTTCCTGGCAGGGGACTCATGAGAGGCAACCACACATTGATGTTTCT